CTCCTCCTCCTCTTTCTCCTTCTCCTCCACCTCCTCCTCCTTCTTCTTCGTCTTCTTTTTCGTCTTCGTCTTCTTCTTCGTCTTCGTCTTCTTCTTTTTCTAGTAGTAGTAGTATAAACTAATTTTCAAAATCAACAATCATACTTCTTGCTTCGAAGTGTTAAACTGAAGTCGGTGGTGCTGATGTCATAAGCTGAGACTTATCTCCTTCGTCTTTGTTGACATAAAATATACTTTGGCGTTCTTTTTTTTTCATTCTGCTATGGGCCAACCGGGACTATGAAGGAAGCAACGTTTCAGAAGACACACCAAGATACTCGATATCAATTCTTTCCTCATGGGAATCGAACTTAGGTTTTCTACATGCAATGGCGTGCAAAACACCTCATGAAAAGGACATAGCATTTTAGAACACCAACTCCTCCTACCTCTTCCTCCTCCCCTTCTCAGCACAGTCAGGACATATTAGGTTCATACATGTACAGTGGACTCCGCTTAAAGTGAACTCTTTGGGTCCAGAAGAAAGTGTTCAGTTTATCCGAGGTTCAGTTTAACCATTGTGGTAGGTTGGAGGCCTAGAAACAGTAGGTACGTGCAATGGTGGGTCTAGGGTGGAGGTGGAGGGGGGGGGGGGGTGAGACAACACAGCGGGCGACCCCAGACTAGAGCTCTTTCTTTCTGATTGCCGTTGTCAACATCGAGCTGGGATTGCCTGCTGATGCCCGAGGCATAGAATTTGATTTTCATAGCATTGTGACAGTAACACGGTCGGTCCGTTCTTCGCTTTCACTCATTTTGGGCGATCACTTTATCCGATTTCCCCATGAAACCGGTTTATTTTATTCACCATTTTTTTACTTTAAAAAATAGCGTTTCAATCGGTACCACAGAATATCGTTGACTTTAACCGATTGTTAAAATAAAAACGTGTTCACTTTAGGCCGACTCCACTGTACTTCTATTAATTCAAATAAAACAACATTTAAATTTGAAAGGTCAAAGAAGTTCCAAAGCTGAGCCAATAGAAAGGCCGACTCCTCATGTAGGTGGTCTCTGAGTTCGATCCCAAAAGAGTCCGTTTTTCATTCTCCGCCAAAAATATTTTAGAGAGTGAGTGGGCCACCATACTTGAGGTATATGACGTACTTTTGGGATGAAAAAGTTACGCTGCCTTCAAACCTTAAGCTTGCCCTCCGAAACAGCGCAATGTCATGGCAGTCGCTTTTCGCTAATTAGAAAACTTTCGCTCCATGGACTGCAGTCTACGGCATTATGATAATATAAGTCTTATCTTTCAAACCAGCATGGTATAGGGAAACATACAGGAAAAGTATGTTTGGTAGAACCCAGAAAACATACTCACAAAGCTACCATAGAATTGCAAAGTTCTATCTGACATTTTCGGCTGTTTTGATTTACTAAGACCAAGAGGCCAGAAACCAACTTAAATGTTCTGTCTTTTCTATCAAAATCGTAAGATTATTCGGAGTCGTTATCAAGATATTTAAAGAATCGCACTCCAGAAAGCTTGATGTATACTGAAACTCAATATTTTACGTCAAATTGATCAAAACTAGGTTCTGAGCAGATAGAACGTTGTAATTGTAGGGTAGCGATATGTGGAGGACGTCAAAATATGCACTGTGGATCAATATAATATTCTAAATATTTTAGTTAGAGCTTTTCGGCACTTGCAGCATAGTTAGGTCAAATAAGCACCGCCGGGTGCTCAGTGGATAGCCTGGTGGACTCTTGAGCACATGGCTCTGGTTCGAATCCCCAGCGGAGCCGACATAAAGGTAGGCAGTTTGAGGAGTTTACAAGAGCCTCCATCTGCTTGTCTTGGTGTTGTTTTGTTTGTTTTCGTAAGGTTTTTACAGCGCTCCCAACTGCATGAGGTCATATGAGCGCCAAGGGGTGAATGTCAACAGAGAAGTCCAAACAGGGAATCAGGCTTACTCTGCTCATCTCTCTAGCTTCAACTGCACAAAGTCTGCTTCGACTATCAAGGCACCCCGGAAATGGCAGTTCACAAGAGACTGACAAACATACAAAAGAAGTAGATGAAAAATGACGATAGTAAGGATGAGGAAAGAAACTTCAGCAGTTCCACCTATGCTGTTCCGGCAGAGTATGAGCATGACATTGATAAATAGGCCCATTTACAATTCTACTGTGCACAAGAACATGTTAATATCCCCCATTTGGTAATGGCCTAAAGACACTTCAGTCAGTGGCTGGTCCCAGTTCTGGGGGTGATGTCTTGGTGTCATCAAATATTCGGGCGTTACGTCATGCCCATGCCATATCCCAGTGGTCCAAGCAAAAAATCTGCTAGTAGTAGTAGTAGTAGTAGTAGTAGTAGTAGTAGTAGTAGTAGTAGTAGTAATAGTAGTAGTAATAGTAGTTGTAATAGTAATAGAAGTAGTAGTAGTTCTAGTAGTAGTAGTAGCAGTAGTAGTAGTTGTTATAGTAGTAGAAGTAGTAGTCGTTGTAGTCGTTGTAGTCGTAGTAGTAGTAGTAGTAGTAGTAGTAGTAGCAGTAGTAGTAGTAGTAGTAGTAGCAGTAGCAGTAGTAGTAGTAGTAGTAGTAGTAGTAGTAGTAGTAGTAGTAGTAGTAGATCATCATCATCGCTTGTAGTGTACTCTAGGTCGTTAGGAAGTAGGCTCTTAACGCAGCACAATTATTATTTTAAACAGACAGCAGACAGACAAAAAAACCATACGGAACACCTTACAGGACAAACCATTAAGAAAACACGGAGGTCTAGCGTATTTACCTTATGGCATACAGATAGCCCATTTATTAGCCTTCTATTTGTCCATATCTGTCCATAACAAAGGCACTTGACAAATCGTTGCAATGAGAAACACAGTACAAGTACTCACGTATCGATACAATACACTACTCAGTAACCGAACACGACATTGTTTTTGTCTGGCTTTCGGTTGCACAAGTAATTTAAATGTGTGTTTATTGCATAAGGCATACTGGTTTTGACATATTATCGTTTACATGAGAGGCTAAGAAATCGTTATACAACAATAACCAGCGGTCTACACTCTAATATTGCACGTTTTGTTTCATTCATTATAACAGTACAACATTTGCCCAAATAGACATCAGCAAGTCATGACACCTTAGCAAGGGAGTCACATACCACTACAGGAAGTAGTACTTTCAAAAGTATTTACATTTCAATAACACCTTATTATAATATTCTCATTACCAAAAATTTGCTCAGCAAAAATTTGAAATCACCTTCTTTAACAAAGTCAGAGAACATTATACGCAGCAATAACAGTAACTATAATAAAATAATAATAATAAAAAAAATAAAAATAATAGTAACTATAATAATCGCAACAATAATATATCATGGTATTTCTCCTACAATAGATAGTATTTTTAAAGAAGAGAAAGCTACATGCTCTATGTGTAAGGCATACAACTGTCAACGTTAGGCATCTCCCATCAATGTTCTCTCATACTCCCGACACAATGTGCTCAGGATCTGTCTCTATCTACTTGCAAACAACATCCATGACTATATTTCACAGAAGCATACACCTGTGTCTTACAGCTACCTTATATATATATATATATATATATAAATGTGTAAACACTATACATATACACAACAATCACAGCACACAAGCATGGGCCATATCTTGAAACATTTATACATTGACTGTCATTCGATGAGGGGGCGGGTCGAAAGAGCGAAACAACGTGCACAATCAGTGTCACAGTAATGTTTTGGTAAGTGCCCCCAAGGGTAAACGACTGATATGTGAACAGGCGTACATAGAAACCCAAATAGTTATTGTTCAACAGTGTGCTTACATCAGTGCGAAAAAAGCACAATCACATGAAGGTTTAAAAAAGATAAGTAATAGGGGAAAAAGAAAAAGAAAATGTAACAGAACTTTCAGTAAGAAACGCTTTCCGTACTAGAAACTGGAAAACTGGTTTTTTTTAAAAATAAAAATTATTATAGTTCAGTAGTCCAAAGGCGAGACATTTCTTTTCTGTTGATTCTTGTTTATGTTCCACATAAAAATAATGTGCGTAGATCGAAACTTTGTGGCAACTGTTCATGAAAACACGTTTCAGTAATTGCCTATCATAAGACTGCTGGAGTCATGTCATTCTTTTTTCATATTCTAAGAACACTTTATTCCAAATAATTGAGAGAGCTGATCTTAGCAGATGCGGCGATATGCGTAATAATATGTAGACAACAAAAACGACTCTACGTTCGATGTTACATATGTTAGGCAGAAACAGATGTTAAGATCAACTATCTAGCTGTACCACGACATCAGAGAAGGATCAGCTCTTGGGTTTTGGGTCCACTTTAAAGACGACTTCACCCAGCTTCTGGGGGAGTGCTGGTTTGTTGAGAGTTATCACCCCTGTCTCGGAGCGGAAGGAACGGCCTGCGGTGACGTCAGGGTTCACTTCGTCCACTGATGCCGACTTCCGGAACCGGTCGATTCTCCGGAGACGAGCCGGGTCAGCGTCGTTGTAGCAAGACATGAGCTCGTGGAAGCTATGAGGTCTGTCGCTGGGGCTGAAGGTTGACGTGTCTGTCTGGATTCGGCGATTGGGAGGTCTCACCCTCTTCTTCACGACTTTTGGAGAGCCGAGAGATTTGTCACTTTTTGAGGCTGCTGCTGCAGCTGCGGCGGACGGTCCTACAATTTTGGTGACCTTAGACACGACTTTGGGGGAGCTGCAGGAATCTTTTGACGCAGAATCGACAGGGGAATCGGGAGCCTCCACTTTCCCACTCTCTGACTTCGGGAAGAAGATCAGCTTTTCCGGATCCGACGGTTGTCGTTTCCATGGATACTGCGGCGGTTTGCTGGGCGACGACGGTTGAGGGGATGCTGTTCCCGAGCTCAGCTGTTTACCCTCCGGATCAATGACCTTCCGCTCCAGCCCGCGAGAGGCCGGCGATTTCGGAGCGTCACAGGGCGGCTGTTGAGGCGATCTGTCCACAGGAGTCATACGCCGTAGAGCTAGGCTCTTCACTGGCTTAGGGGACCCGGGTTTGTTTGCGCTTTGTTTGACTTCTGACGAAACCTTCTCTATTGATTCTCCTTCACAACCTTCTACAATATCGGTGGTTGTGTCCTTTCCTGTTTCGCTCTGTCCACTTTTCGCGTGAGATTCAGACAACTCTGGCGCACTGGTCGCAGCGAACCGCTTGGAAGATTTGAGTCTGTCGGGGCTGTCTTCTCCCGTAGAGAACTTGTCCATCATGTAAGCTACGCCCATTCCTAGACGCCGCCTCCCGCGGACGCCCCCGCTGGCATTGACGTCAGCGTCTGAGGGGTCAGACTTCTGAGAGGTCAACAATGCTGGTTGTGGCTGGCTGGCTTCTGACGTCAGTGGTGGGGTCAAGTTCACGCTCGCCGATGATGTAGATGAAGAGCTAGGAGCACCGACCGGTGTCGTAGGTACGGCGGGCTGTGGTGCTTTCACAGAGGAAATTTGGAGCTTTGCTAACCCTGCAGTGGCGTTATTTCTGGCTGTGGCTTTCTTCTCCTCTACACTTTCTGATCCTTTAGAGCCGGATACAGCAATCTCCGACCTTGCCATAGATGGGGTCGTGGGGGCAGAGGTCATCGGTGTGACCGTTGGTTTAGCTGCTGTCGGGGGCGGGATTTTCCTCTGATTAATCGGGGTCAAGACAGGTGATGGCTTAACCTCAGACTCCACGGGTTTCGGGTTAAACCTTTCCAACACCTGTTGCTTGACACTGGCCTGTGGCTGGTTGCTCTCCTCCACGTCGTCAACCGCGTCTTGAAACATTTTGGGAGGCTGGATGTTCACATCTAAGTCTACGCCAGCGTTGTAGATGATCTTTCTTGAGAATCTCGGGGATGACTGAGGGGAGATGGAGACGCCGAGTTTTTCTCCGCTGTCTTTGCGAGAAGCGCGGTCGTCCTGGATGATCCTGTTGTCCCTGACGGGCCGGACTCTGGGTCTGTTTCTCACGGCCGGGGGTGGGGTGGAGGCGGTGGGCGGTGGCACAGGGGCGGGCGCCGGGGAGGACACGGATTCTTTTACCGGTGTGGATTTGGAGTAAGGAATCGCCGTGGCGTTGAACTTTGTGTTGGCGCTGACGGTGGGGTCTAAGGACCCTGCTAGTAAGTCCGCCGCGTTTGTTTCTATATCGGGTACGGATTTTGACCGCCCTTTCTTCACAGACGTATCATCTTCGCGCCCAAAATCGTGTTGGAGTTTTGACCTGAATCGACCGCCTCCTTTCAACTTGGAGTCCTGGGGTTTGGGAGCTGTTGCTGGTGGGGCCCCCTTCAGTTGTCCCGATGCCACTGATGACGTCATGGTTAACGGTGCCGGTGTGAATGACGTCATAGTGTCTGACGTCTCCCCTGGCTTGAGGGTGATCCTGAACGTCTGCTTCTGAGTCTCCGGCGCTGTGTTCTCGGGTCTGCCCTTCTCCGCCGCCCTAGAGAACATGTCCGTGGTCTTGTTGACCTCGTCCACGATAGCCTGGAACGACTTGGAGATGATGTCAAACTCCGACTCTGTTTCTTTGTCCACCTCCGCTTTAGACTTTGTTTCAAGACCTGGGATATACACTGAGGAAATCCTCGTCTGCATAGGGCGCAGGTGGTCGGATTTAGGCTTGGGTGCCAGGATAAAATCGCTTGACTTGGTTGGTCTGTAAGGTTTTGGTTTTGTTCTTTCAGGCGGAGCTACAGAGCCCATGTCGTCTGTGTTTAAATCTAAGTTGTTGTAGATTCGATCTAGCTCCGACAGGGCGTCCGACAGTTTGGATTTTTTCGCAGTGTAGTACGCCTCAAACGACTCCGGTTCCGAGTCTTGGGTTTTCGTCTCCGGTGTGAATTTTTTCAAAGAATCGAGGACAGTGTCTAAGCTCTTCTCGTCCGCGCTCTGAAGTCTGGATTTGATGACGTTGATCCTCCTTTCCACGTTCTGGGCCAAACTTTTCAAATCATCCATCGACTCGTTCACTTTCTGCAGCGTGCTGGAGGACGACGTGCTCGGCGTGTCCTCATCCTCCCCGCCAGGCTGGTACATCCAACTTGTGGCCTGGGTGTGGGGTCCGCGGGTGGTGTCCATGCCGCTGTCGCTGAAAGATTCGAACTTGGATGTTCCGTACAACGACTCAGGGCCTGGCTGGTAGGAGGTGGCGCTGAAAGGAGCGAGGGCTTGTTGGATGTCGTCTAAAGCGCTGGTGCCTGGTCTGTAGCTTCTTGAGGGCACGGGGTACGACCTCGTTGGCGCCGTGAACAAAGACTCTGATGTTGAGGGGACAGCTGTAGGTGTGAAGGCCGAGCTCCTAGACTGAGATATTTGACTCGGGCGAGGGTTTATAGGCTTGAAGCTGCTAGACCCGGGCTGGGAAACGATAGGGTTGTAGGCAGATGCTGGCTGCGTTATGACAGGATTGTAGCTGGAACCTGGCTGAGAAATGACTATAGGGTTGTACGCGGGAGCAACTGGTTTGTATGATGTGAAAGTGCTGCTGGCTTTTGTGGGCGTCTCCATCGGGTACTCTTCTGTGTCTGTCTCCACGACGAGCCCGGTGCTCAACAACTTTTGCTTCAACAAATTCGGATCCAGCTCGTAATTATTCCCATTTCCTTGCAGCATCTGCGACTGCCTGTTTTGCTGTTGTTGTGGTCGACTTGTCTGCTGCTGCTGTAGCCTCTGCTGTTGGTAAAACTGCATTGGCTGTTTTGCTGGCGCTGGTTTCTGCTCAGCTCTTACATGTGACAAACCTCCGTTATCATACTTTTTAGCGGCTTCCAACTTAGGGTTGGTAAAGAGCAGCTGGCCTCCTTCAAGCCGCACGCCAGACTGGATTGAATCAAGAGCCGTTTTCTTCCCAGGAGCGGCACTGAGGGCGGCAGACGCTGAGGATTTTTGAGTCTCGTAGGCTAGCTCCAGGGCTTTCTTTTTGGGACTCAGCTGTTTCCTCTCGATGGACGAACGTATGTCCTCTAGAACGTCGTCCAGGGCGCTGGTGGCGCTTGACGTGTTCTTGTCCACTGTGATGGTCAGCGGCGTGATGTTGGGCGTGTACAGAGACTTTGACCTCTGCAGCCTGTCCCTGGCGGACACTGCGGTGGTGCGAGGCTGGGACGGGAGCGTCGAGCTCTGAGGTGCCATCAGCTCGATTTCGTGTTGGGATTTGACAGGTTCGAACCCCACCTCTCTGTCTTGAGACGCTCCTCCTCCCACGCTAAGGTGGCCAGCCATACTGCTAGGGTCAAACGTGGTCATTTCTTCTATTTCCTTCCAAAACGGGTCTTCTGAGAAGGGAATCGTCTGCAGCGTGCGAGCAGTTACCCGTTCGATACTGACAGGAACACCTTGAGTACTCTCGAGGTTCGGAGACCAAACATCCGATTCCTTAAACCGGGTCTGGTATTCGGGTACCATGCTGGTCCAGTCGGACGGCTCGGAAGACTTCTGGACACTGGACACTTTCGTTGACCGACTCAACTTCGCAGACGCCGTGGACACGGACCGCTGGTCATCGTCTGACGTCACTGTGGCAGAGTCGGTGTCAAACCGTCGTCGCAGACTTACGACCGAGTCGGACTTGACGTTGGAAATCTCCTCCAACTCGTCCTGGTACTTGGAGCCCCGCTTTGCCGGGTCTTTGGCGGAGGAACTCAGCCCTGATCTCATGACGACTGGCGTGCACGTTTCGCTACTTGGGTAGCTCGGCATCTGATATGACGTCACCTGGTGGCTGGCGACGATCGGACCGGATGTAGATGACGGAGCAGGCTGGCGATTGGACAACATTTTCTGACGTAAGTCGTTGGCGCTCATGAAGGCCGGGTCTGCCTGGATGGACACAGGGGCGTGGAAAACAGAACTGACGCTCTGAGACTGAAAGCCCAACCTCGGCCCAGCCTGGGGATCCTGAATGACTTGGAAGAATCTGTGGGCGTTCGTCTCAACAGCAAACATTTTGGGAGCTTCCGAATTTCCAGCTCTATTTATAGAACTATCAGAGCTAAAGGATTTAGGACCCGCCACGGTGTAAGGCACCACTTCATTAGGATATGTATTCCCGAAACTTCCTTGTTTATTGAGGAGAACGGACTTTCTCACTTCGCTCGGGAGCATAAGACCTTCTTCATTTTTCTCTTGTATAGTTGACAAACTGACTGGCTTCTTCGTGCCTTCTGCTTCCTGGCCGTCCTGAACCTTCATAAACTTCTCCCACTTCTTGACTCGCTCCGACACCTCTATGTCGTACTCCACGTCGGAAAACATGCCTTTGTCAGCTTGGGGAATCTGCAGCGAGTTGCCAAGATTGGAGGTCAGGTTGACGTCACTGACACAGCCTCTGGCATAGGCGTGCTCAGGGTGAAGGTTGTTGCCAAGGTAACTGGGTACAACAACCTGGGCGTTGAGCTGGCTGTCGGATTTTGACAGGTCATCTCGGTCGAAGTATTCGCTGGTGGGGCGCGAAATTCGAGAACGGCTGTCGTACGAGTACTTCCTCTCTGGTCGTAAGCCTGCGTCCGGTTGTAATCTGTTCGGAGAGTCGTAGGACGCGTACTCGCTGCTGGTCACGCCGCCTATTCTGATTGCAGGAGGGCCAGAGTTATTTCCCATTACTACAGTTCCTGCCCCTCCTCCTCCCATCCTTGTCTGAGGAGATTCTGCAGGAAGTGCGACACGAAACTGAATGCTAGAGTTGGGCTTGACCTGGACAGTCGGGGCGTGCTGAGTGTCGGGCGGGCCTTGACCTGACAGACGACGCGGGTCCGGCAGGCTGGATGACCTTGACACACTGACGCTGCCAGCTTTCTTCAATTTGGACGCTTTGTCTATCTCACTATCCAGGTACTGAATGTTCGACTCGATTAGCTCGTCCAAAGAATCATCGCTGTGCGAGAAAGGGCCCGTCTCCTTTTTCACCAGTTTCGGCTGAGGCGCAGGTCTCTCCGCGCGGTTTGCCCTCAGCCTCATCTCCACGACCTCGTTGAACTGTGTGGGTGACCTTGACGGGACGCTTGAGGCCGCCGACTCGTGCGGGGTCAAGGACGCTCTGGCGTGAGCTGTTCGCGGACTCTGGAAATAAGCGCTGGACTGACCACCTGACACACGGTTAGAGTTATTGTTTACGTTTGGGTTTATGATGCTGACGTTGTTTGGGTAAGAACTGCGGGTGGGCGTGTCCAGTATGGAGTCAGCTGATGCCGCGCGGACGTGCGGGACCACCTCGGGTGAGCTGTTGTACACAGCACGTGCCGTACTCACGCTGGCGTGTTGTTGATCCGGGGAGGAAAAGAAAGACTGACGGGCGGCTGAGAGAACAGGAGGGGGAGGTCTGGCTGGCGGGACTTTCTGACCCTGGATGTGAGACACGGGAGATTGGTTATGGAGTTGTTGGTGCTGCTGTTGGGGGTACGGCCGTGAGGGCGTTGTCGTCTCGAAGGAGGCTTGGCCAACCTTCGTGATGGGTTGGAACCCCTGCCTCTGGGATTGTATGCTGGTGGTGAAAGAAGACTGCATGTTCTGGGATGGAGGGGGAGAGAACGGTGCCCTTGGCTTGACGCTAGGCGACACACCGCTAGAGAACGACTGACGTAGAGGCTCTCTGGGCGAGGCGTACGGCGCGTTTCGCGGGAGGATTTGTACGTCGGTACTGCTAGTGATGCTGGCGGGAAACCTTTGTTTCTCGCCCTGGTACTGCGCTGGCTGGGGGCGGTACGGTTGGTGCTGTTGTTGTTGTTGTTGTTGTTGTGGCTGGGACAGTGGTTGCTTACGTTGCTGCTGCTGCTGGCTAGGGTGTATCTGCCACTGAATATTGTCACCAAGCATCAGATCCTGCGATATAGCCGGAGACCTCGTCTGCTGGCCGAGACCGCTCTGAATAGCCCTCTGACGTAATCGGGAAATCCGCGAAGCCGGAGTATTTTCCTCATCTGACGTCACGGCTAAATTTATCCTCTTTTTTCTTCTCTCCTCCAGTTTTTGATACTTGCTGCTACCTTTACTCCCACTCCCGTCTTTGGAACTAGAGTTCCCCCCACCGCTGCTTCCATCCTCGTTGCCATAGTAGGTCCAGCTATCCCTGGTAGTGGATCTCTGCGACACCCCATTCTCTCCAGACCCACTCATCCGCTTCTCAACATGTTTCGTTTTCTCTGACTTCCTCACCTTCCTGACCATCAGTGGGTTCTTCGTCCACCTCTTGGGATCACTGTCAGAATCAGAATCATACCGCGCATGCGCAGATCTAACAGGAAGTAGATCACTATCATCCGAATCCGGCGAATCTAAATCTCTTCTTCTTCCCCTCACTCCCCCACCCCCATCAAATATCTGCTTCTTCCCTCCTTCCCTCTCGTCCATGGACTGCCTCACTCTTCTATTAGGCCCCTCGCTCCGGGATCTCCTCTTTATCTCCGCTCGATCGAGCTCGTCTGCTGCTCTCTGACCGCTCCCCTGCCTGTCTCGTCTTCCTTGTCTGGCTATTGCCCGCTCAGCCATTTCTCTGACGTCAGGACTGCGAGGCTCACTTCGTCGTGGAGGGCTTCTGGTCTCGGAGGAGAGGTCTAGCTGCTGTCGGTGTTGCTGTTCTTGTTGCTGTTGCTGGCGTTGTTGGAGTAGGTTCAGGTCCTGCTGCAGTTGCTGTTTTTGCTGTTGTTGCTGCTGCTGTTGGGGCTGATCGTGCTGTTGTTGATGCTTGTAAAAGGTGAAGTGTTGCGTCTGGTCTACTGTTGCTGACTGCTGTTGAGGCTTGCCTATGTTGCGCAGCTTCTCGTCAGCAGTCTGGAAACAGCGAACAAAAGATTGGGTTATTCAAAGACCGTTAAAATAATAATAATAATAATAATAGATAGCATTTGTATAGCGCATATCCCCGCTCAGCAGCAGGCTCTATGCGCTTTACACTATATTATTACCCCAGCAGACCATAGAACACTCCGAAACATTCTCAGCTTCCCGGGAAGCATACAGTGCAAGCAGCCGATTAAGCGCTCAAACACTAACAAACTGACATGATCTTTCGCAGTCTATAGCCGGGTACCCATTCCCACCTGGGTGAAGTGAGGAAAATTCGTGTAAAGTGCCTTTCCCAAGGACACAACGTCGGGCCCCTGACGGGATTCGAACACACGACCTTACGGTTGCGAGTTCGAGAGCCTAACCACTAGGCCACCGACGCCACCCATCATCATCATAATCATCATCGTCATCATCATAATCATCATCATCATTATCATCGTCGTTATCATCATGGTTGTTGTGCAACAGGACACTTGTTTAATATTTTGAGCGTCAGTGTCTGTGTGTGTGTATGTGTGTGAGTGTGTGTGTATGTGTGTGTGTGTGTGTGTGTGTATGTAAATGTACATATCCATGTGTGTGAGTGTGTTTTTGTGACTTTGAACAAACACTGTGGTACAATCGACACACACAGACAATGTCACAAAATTCGTTCACACTCTCCAACACAAAGACCTTAAAACCTTACTAAACCGCAAAACCTTACTTAAACCCCCAAAAAACAAAGTCAGCTTTCTGTTTGTCTGTATGTTTCACATTCATGCACCTGTTAATCTTCCTTTTTTCTGTAAGCTATTTCCATTCACGTTGACATCTGTAAGCCATTCCATTTTTCTTTTAGGGAGTACGCACAGAATTATGAAATAAATCCTCTGAACACTGTCTCCTTTTCTATTTCCTGAGCCTCCTGGTGCAATTCCAAGATTCCCAGGTTTCTTCCAAAGTATTAAACCCATAAAAAGTGCTTCTCTCTCTTTTAACCATTCTCCTTTTACTTTGGTTCCTGGCCGAATTCCAAATCCTGGCCATGTTTTTTTCTAAAGTCTAAAAATAAATGACTCGTAGAGTAAAGGGCCTCAAAGACTGAGACAGGATAGGTCAAATATCGTCGTGTACGTAACAAGCCTTGAGACCCACCCAGTACAGACGCGTTATGTTATGGTTACAAACAAAGAAACACAACCACGCACAGATAAACAGGTGGTTGAACTTTCGAGGCTTCCACGTGATTTTCATTTGTCACAGTTTCGGAATGCAGGTAAGGCTCCTAATTTTCACAGGTAGAAGAAGAAAGGAGAAGGCGTGCCCTGAGACAGATAGCTGCACCTTACACAACAACGTGTTGTAGATACGACCTTTTGTCGCCCAGCGTGCCACTCATCCTGTCTCCCCCCCCCCCTCTCTCTCTCTCTCTCTCTCTCTCTCTCTCTCTCTCACTCTCTCTCTCTCTTCTCTCTGTCTCTCTCTCTTCAATCTCTCTCTCTCTCTCTCTCTCTCTCTCTCTCTGTCTGCCTCTCACTCTCCTTCTCGCTGTATTTCTCTCTCCCTCTCTCTCTCTGTATGTCTCTCTCTGTATGTCTCTCTCTCGTTGTCTCTCTGTCTGTCTGTTTCCTCTCTCTCTCTCTCTCTCTCTCTCTCTCTCTCTCTCTCTCTCTCTCTCTCTCTCTCTCTCTCTCTCTCACACACACACACACACACACACACACACACTCTCTCTCTCTCTCTCTCTCTCTCTCTCTCTCTCTCTCTCTCTCTCTCTCTCTGTGTGTGTGTGTGTGTGTGCGTGTGTGTGTGTCCCTCTCTTTCTCTTTCTCTGTCTGTCTGTCTCTGTCTGTCTGTCTGTCTCCCTCTCTCTGATGTCTCTCTCTCTCTGTCTTTCTTTCTATCCCCCCTTCTTTCTCTCTCTCTCTCTCTCTCTCTCTCTCTCTATATATATATATATATATATATATATATATATATATATATCCCTACGCTTTCTCTTCGTGTATCCACACCCCCTCCCCTTCTCTCTCTCTTCTCGAACTTTCTCTCTCTTTCCATTTTTCTCTCATTTTCTCCTCTCTCTCTCTCTCTCTCTCTCTCTCTCTCTCTCTCTCTCTCTCTCTCTCTCTCTCTCTCTCTCTCTCTCTCTCTCTCTCTCCGCCTATCCTATGACATAAGTCTAGTACTGTTAAAGTCTAGAAGTAGACGTAAAAAAAACAAACAAACCCCTATAGGTTCGTAGACAAACAGATCACAAGAGCTTAAAAAAAAGCATTGCAGTACATCTTTACCTAGGTCACCTTAAGTATGGATTTGCTTTTCTTAGTTTTAGTAAGAGTTTTACGGCACTCGCAACACAATAAAGTCTTATACGTGCCGAAGAATAGATGGTTTACAAGAGAGTAGCGTACACAAGAATGACGAAAAAGAGATAAAGACGATAGATGTTTGATAGGAAAGAAGGAGCAAACCACACCAGAGCACCCGCCAACCCCCCACATTGACTTTTCTTATGACGTCGCATAATCACAGAAGTCAGTGGTGTAGCGGTTAGACGCCCGGCCGTAGCACGCAGAGGGCGTGAGTTCGATTCCCGTGTGGGCACGACTACCTCGGTCTGCGATGTTATATATTATGTAGTGTATAAAGTTATCAACCTTTTTGCATTAAAATCAGCGAAAGGAAAACTCACACTCACACAAACACATGATTCAAACAGGCACAAACAAACAAGCACACGCGCTCACTCACACTCCCAGGCAGTTTATACTGGAGAGAGAGAGAGAGAGAAAGAGAGAGAGAGAGAGAGAGAGAGAGAGAGAGAGAGAGAGAGAGAGAGAGAGAGGGGGGTGGGGGTGCGGGAAGAAGGAGAGGGGAAAATAGAGAAGGAACGACAGCGAGAGAGATATGAAAGCCCTTCCCTTCTGCGTCCTAACAACACACCACTTCGGAATTCAAACGTTGATCAAAATAGTTACAAGGTGTCTATTTATAACCCAGCACACCGGGATGAGAAGAATTGTACCTGAACTGGTTTTTTACTCGTCGGCCTGGTTAAAAATTCTCACAGAATCTGGTAAAGCATATGCTACCGACCCCTGCAAGTGGTCGTAAACATTTCATGAACTCTGTGAATATTCTACGCCGCCTTAGAAACAATTGTACTAATTTAGAAGTTGTTGTACTTTAACCCTGTCTAAAAAGTCCAGTCTTGTTTGTGTTGGAAATAACTATTAGGAAGACGGAGAAAGTGGATAGCTTTGCAACTCTGGAATTGAATTGGTGCTTCTCTGTGTGCTAGGCAGGAACTTATCAACTCCCATTTGCGTAGTTAAGACTTCTTATCTTGTCAAGAGAAAAATAAAGAGGGTTTTAAATGATAGCAATAAAAAGTCATTACTTTTTTTTATTTCGACAAAAACCAAGCCCTTGGGAAAACAGTAATGCCTTTTGGTAAATAATGATTCTACAAATAAGAATGTCTACGCTCAGATATAAAAAAAATGTTTGTTCTAAGAAGACTGGGAGCCCGAAAAGTGTACCGCGTGATTACTTTGTTCTTTACATTGCCTAAAGACACTAAGCTGATGAATCTGGTACCCTGTCTTTTAAATAGCCTGTCTTTATGTTAAGTAATTCGAACTTGCAAAGAAGAAACCGGCTGCCTACCTCTGACATTCTCATAAAACTAACCGGAAGAGAAAACAACCTGAGTTCTCTTTCAAAATCCACCTCACCCAAGGCAGACGCAAGACGCATAGAGACAAATCAGGAACCGTAAGTGCCGAAAGTGGTTTCCTTTTTACCTCTCGAACATCAAAGACTCATTCTCCGCTCGTAGCCTACTCTGCTCAGCCAAATGTCAGTTCGCTAAGACCGCACACCCTAGATGTCCCATTAGCCCCCCGTTGTATCTGGAAAATTGTTAACTCGTTGAGAACTGTAGCGTTCTGGTCTCTCGACAAAGCTTGAAGACTCGTTCTGTGATGGAGGACTTACAAAAAAAGCATGGAGTCATCATTCAAACAGAGTAAATAAAAACAAAAGAAGGAAGAAGGAGAGACACGGAGGATGGATGTTTGATTTTTAAAAAAGCAGAAGCAAACCACATCAGAGCATCCGCCAACCATCTATTTTAATTCTGCCTTATTAGTTTAAGTAAAGGCTTCACGGCACTTGCAATACAAAAAGGGCATATATAAGAGCCGAAGATAGGAGTTTTTACAAGTAACATACAAAGAAAAAAGGAGAGATAGTGACGATAGATGATTGATATGAAATCTTGGTACTGATGTGTGTACAATGGTTCACTATGTGCCTTAGCATTGCCTTTGGTGTTTGCCACGTTCTCAGTAGAGAGGCAAGAGGCTTTAAAATGAAACCTCGGTACGGCGTTCGTACAGTTGCAGGACGCAGAACTTAGACGTGTGTGGTAAATGACTCTAGGACATAGAACAGGGGTGTGTGAGGTAAATGACTGTTTCTTTAATGTGAGTGTTTTTCTCCTCAGTTCCTAAGACATAGAACACATGCGTGTGTCGTAGATGACTCAAGGATAATACGTACAGAACACAGCCATGAGTGGTAATTGATTAATGTCTGCTGCACATAGGTATTTAACAGTTACACATGGAAAACAATCGTGTACGGTAAAAGACTCTTGGCCGGACAAAGAACACAGTAGTTTGCTGGTTTTAGTAAGGTTTTACGGCGCTCGTAACTGCAGAAGTTCATATGAGCGCCAAGGGGTGGATGTCAACAGAAAAGTCTAAACGGGGAATCAGGCTTACTCTGCTCACCTCTGTAGCCACAACAGTACAAAGTCTGCTTAGACTATCAAGGCACCCGGAAATAGCAGGTCACAAGAGAGTGACAAATATACAAAAGAAGTAGAAGAAAATGACGAAAGTAAGGATGAGGAAAGAAAAAGCAGCAGTTCCCCATATGTTGTTCCGGCACAATATGAGCACGGCATTGGTCAATCAGCCCATTTACAA